ATAAACATATGTCAATTTAACATTAATCTAATGATAATTTGAATATAATCGATCAGTTTATCAATGAGAAGAAAATTTAGTTATAAATTATTGATACTTCATCGTTTAGATGAAACGTTTGTTGATCATTAAGAGGCGTGACAAGGGAAATTATTTCAACTGTTTAAACAGTGTCATTAGTCGCCAAAAACGCGTTAAAACAGTTACAATTTCAATGACTCCAAGCGTTTAAACATGTAAAACGTGTTAAAAGTTAATTTTTCATAAACTGTTTTAACGCGTTTTTGGCGACTAATGACACTGTTTAAATAGTTCAGATGTTGAGATGTTTAAACGCCGTTTTTGCCGTTTTGTTGTCTGCCCGGGTAGTTTCAAGTCAAAGTTTTCTATCATAAATTTGGAAATGTGTATAGAACCCTGATATAAATGTTTCACGAGAAACTTCTCTTCTCAGTTTGAAAAGAAATCCTGTCAAAATTTGCGTATCTTATTGAATTTATATGTATTCTTCATTTAATCATGTAGACGTTGTAAAGCATCATAACGGTGCGACAATAGAATCTGAAACAGTTATATAATCGACGAAATCTGTAACTCTTGACTGTCATGATAAAAGTTTACCGAAAATCCGCAGAGAGATATGCAGTTTGAGTTACTAATATAAATGCCTACTGTGCAAACTTATGTCTTCTTCATGGTTTTCTCCATTTTTCAAATAAGAATTTATATTTATTCTAATTCACATCACGTCCTAAACACTTTTTTTAACGGATTGAAAACCAATTCTAAGGTTTACTACTTGTTGCAGACAAACTAATGTCTCTATAAATCATAAGATTTCCCAAAGAAAAAAATGTTCAGATTAACGATGAATTTTATTTTGAATCAAAAAATGGTTTCAACTAAGGAAAGTCCTTGTAAATGTTCTTCCAAAATAAAGAAACACATTTAGATCTTTGGCTTTATTGATTTAATGCCGTTTTCTTCAATATCAAATTGCCATATCTTCTCGTGCATTTGTGCCAAACCTTCAAATGGCGATGTCACTTCCAGAGTCTTTCCATCAGTGAATTCAGCCTGAATTTTATAGATATGTTTATTAATGAGGCGAAACGCCTCGGGGTAAGTACGTGCTTCAGCAAAGTAGTGACCACTGTTTGGTTCCAAATCATTCTTCTGTATAATCTCGTGTTCATGATGTTCATGTTCACCACAGTAAAAGATTTTAAGGTTAACCAGACGAGAGGTACGATTGTAAATATGAGCTGAATGGACGTAGTGTTTTTGTTTTATTGGCATATTGTGTAGAGAACTATTGTGCGTATATTTATTTTGTGTAATTAGCTGTATAGGAAGCAGAAGAAGAAATTATGATACTCTTGTGTATAAAAAGCAATTTTTATATACACAACAGTTGCGGGAAGAAAAAGAAAAGAGTATTATTCTGTACACCACTGAGAAGAAAAAACAGTTTTTCTTTCGCTCTGTAATATTGTATATGAGACGAAAGAGATGGAAGTATTTTTTGCGCTATTAACCAGTAAGACAAGTGATAAATAGATACTATTATACTTAGGGCATACCAAAAGTGGTGGCGGTCCTATGTTAATTTCGTATAGACGGCTTGAGGAAATTTTCTTTTTATATAGACTGATAGTAAAAACAAAGCTCTACATTTCCGCACTATTTGATTATTATTCATCCAAAATAGTAATAATAAAATTTTCATTAGATTTGTTCACCTATGATATGTAACGATGACACAAGACCATATTGTCTTCTATGTGTATTTTTGTCTTGGTCTATTCTTTGTTCTTTTCCTAATTTTTTTTCTTATCTCTTTTAATGCCCGTTTTTTTACACATACAGGTGTTTGGGAAAAACTTGAAAAAAAATTTTTTTCTTAAAACCTTTTTCTCTATTGTTATAAACGATTACAAAAATCATTTTTTGAGGGGTAAACCCTGGATAGATATACTACACACCATATATATAGAAGCATGTATTTTTTTTCTCGTCGATATCGACTTTAATTTTATCACCCTTCATTGTAGTCAAGCAAATTTGTTCAAGTATTTGAGCATTCCACAGAATTCGGAGAATTTACGCTACACACATATCGGTCAGGGTGATCCAAACAATCATTCTTTCGTTTTTCAATATCGCTCTGTCTCATCGAGTCCATATACGTATCACATGGAGAAAAAAGAGCAATCAAGAAACAATACCAAATGAATGCAATGAAAGAGACGGATTTCATCGGATAAAATTGAACATTACAGTCGGATTGATCGCGCAATGATCGAGTAATAATCAGTGAAACGAACAAATTGATGATACATTTCCTAAAGAATTAACTTGGAAGTATTTAAAGCACCTCTTTCTTGATTATCGACGAATATCATAATAAATCTCAATCAATTAAGTATTTTTCTCTTCTCTCTTCACCTATTATCTAGTTACAATTGTGACGATTTCTGTTGTAATAGATACCACTTAAAAGCTACTCTAAGTTTATCTTATTGGTATAATAAGAAAACGTCCATATGCTGTATTTTTCTCATTCCTTATATACTACTTCGTATATACAAAACAACCTTGAAAACTACAGTGAACACAATAACAGAAAAATACGAGAAGAACAAAGGTTGAAGCACAGTTACGGATCACGTTGTGTACGAGAGAAGAACGCACCAAGCATGTCATTCCAAAGTATATAACGATCAGAAAAGGATATTGTGGTTATTCTTTTTATGGATACTATTATGTACAAGAGGAGAACATACCAAGCATCTCATTCCAAAGTATATATACAGAACAGAAAAGCATATTGTGGTTATTCATTTTACGAATAAGATTATGTACGAGAAGGACAAACCAATGGTATAGTTCCAAAGTACATATAGGAGAAGAACGAGGTAAAGCAATTTCAATCGAGGATGGGGATAGATTATATATGAGGTCGGAGTATTACAACAATACTCTAGTCAATTCAATTGCTTTCGGACAATTCAGACGCCGATTGAGGGCATGGGTGTGGGTGTGGGTGCCGGGTGTGGGTGTGGGGTGTGGCTGTGGGTGTGTGGTGGGGTGTGGGTGTGGGGCGTGGCTGGGTGTGGGTGGGGTGTGGGGTGTGGGGTGTGGGTGTGGGTGTGGATGTGGGTGTGGATGTGGGTGGGGTGGATGTGGGCGTGGGTATGGGCATGGGTGGTTGTGGGTGTGGGCGTGGGTGTGGGGTGTAGGTGTGGGTGAGTGTGGCTTTGGCTGTGGGTATTGGTGTGAACGTCAATTTTCATCGTGCCACACCTCACACCCACCTACACCCATCCACATCCACACCTACACCCCACCCCCATACCCATATCCACACCCCACACCCCACACCCACACCCACACCCACACACCCACACACCCACACCACACACCCACACCCACCCACACCCACACCCAACTGAAAATAAAAATAAGTACTTTTAAAAACTATGAAAATAGTATGATAAAATTTGCGCCTCAGAAATTACTGTTTAGTACTTCCAAGCGATGAGAACTACTAAAAATTACTTTTATCAACCCTAAGTATGCACAAAGCTAGGTCAGAATGGTAAAAAATAATATTATTAGTTACTTTGCTGAAAAAATTATTTAGTAGTACTTTTGAAAAAGTTTAAGCCAATAAAATCATTCATCGACACCTACAAGTACTATAAAGTACTTGTGGATGACCAAAAAAATTAATGTTTAGTACTAGGAAGAAGATTAGTACTTTAAAGTATTTTAATAAGTGCAATAAGTGCCAAAAGTTACTATAAAAAGTGAAAAAATGCTGAAATAGTTACTTTTTATCACTTTTTAAACACCAATAGTATTTCTAAGTTCCTTTTTGGCACATTTTTTTACATGGGTAGAGTGATTTGTTATCAATATTCTTATCCAAATTTTTAATAAATACATTTCCAACACCTGATTTACGTAAAGCTGGGTCACGTTGGGACCACATTATACGTAATGGACGACCACGAAGTAAATCAAAGTTCATTGTATCAAGTGCACGTTCAGCTAAAATTAATAGAATACATTTTTTTATTAATTGAAATCAATTTCAGTAGGTCCTATAAATCAAATTATTAATAAAACATTAACATTTTCCCACTCTTCCATTACACATATGACCTCATTAATAAAGTTAATCAATTTTAGCTTACCATCAGCTGGCTGTTGAAAATTGACGTAACCATAGCCAAGTGAACGTCGCGTAATCATCTCACGACAGACACGAATTGATAAAATTAGTCCAGCATTTGAGAATTTGTCGAATAACATAGCCTCGGTTACATTCGGATGAAGATCACCTTTTATCAAGCAAAAACAACGTAGAAAAAAAACAAAAGCAAAATAATATTCAAACTTACCAACATACAACGAAGTCATAGAATAGCTAGGAGCGCTTCCTTGAAAATTGGGTGCTGCCATATTATTGTTTACATTACTGATTCTGTTTTCTTTAGTGTTTTCGACTTTTCTAATGCTTTCTTAAGTGTAAAGTAAAGCTAATAATGTAGTTACTATATTTTCTACTTCTAGAAAAATTGCTCCGTTATGGTGTAGAAAGGGCGTGTATTTTCGAAGAAAATAGAGTGTAAGTTTTATTTTCGAGATTTCTTGGCTCCCCTAGTCCTTCCCATAACAGACATACAGTAACGCACGGCACTATTACAGATACTTAGCAGCATAGATCTCCATTGCAGACATTAACAATTTAATAATAAAAAAATATAACACTCCACTATGCTGCAAAAAGATAAAACTCAATGAAATAATAAGTATGATTTAGGTTTAAGCAATATTAATGTTTATGAATTGATCAGGATATATATTTGTATGTCGATCTATAGTTTTAAATACAATCGATGTTCACAGAAGTCATAAATGTGAGTGAAATCAGTGATTAGAAAATAATAAAATGAAAATACAAACCGTAAAATATGAAGAAGAAAAATAGTGTGCACTTAGCAACAAAAAAAATTAAAAGCTAAGATGTCATAGAAAATAACTGTAAAATTCTTTTAAAAATAAAAAATTCTAGAGATCATTGTTTTACGCATGGATTATTGTTCAGAGCAACTATAATCTTTCAGAGATTTTTCAATTTACATACTTTTTATTAGTGTAATAAGACTAGAGAACATACGTAAGTTTCACATTTCAGCACTAAAAGTGCTGTGCTAACAAGCTTTTTATGACCTCATACTCGGGACCTCAATCCTATAGAGAATTTGTAGGATGAATTGGAAAATCGCATGAAGAAACATCAACCGAAAAACAATGACGAGATTGGAATGCTATTGGTACAAAAATTAAACAAGATTAAAGTACCTCGACTTGAAAACCTTGTTGATTCAGCTCCCAATCCGTTACATGAATGTATTAAGATGAAAGATTTTCCACAAAATATTATTTTAGTGCAAGTCTTTTTGTTTTTTAGGTGTGTGGGTGTGGGTGTGAGGGAATAATATGTCGTAGCAAAAATTCAGGATATGTTCACTATTTCTAGAATAACATTGAAATGAAAACAAGAATATTGCATAAATTCGAAATTAGACATTTCATTATGAGCGCATTTGAAATATAGAGCTCGCTATTTTGAGCCACGATGAGTGTAACGAAAATGTATTGCTATGGAGAGCGAATAATTTCTTGATCAACTGTAGTACTTATAGGTACACCTACACCAACAATCTTCTGAAAACTGAAAAACGCCTAGCAGTATATTATTACCTGTTTCGTTTTCTGACTGACCAGAGACCCTAAATAACATGGAACCTTAGATTGTTACAAGTACGATATCTCTCAAAATATTTCTGAGATACTTGACTAAAGGAACAAAATAGTCTGCAGGAGGCGGATTCTTAGGATCTTTCAAGGTCTCTTTGGAGAGATGACATGTCCATAATAGTGTTCTCTTGTTTTCAATGCGTACAGGGGTTTTGATTGGTGTATACATTCGATTTTGTAGTGGCCGTAGAGGATGGTCGTTAAAATACATCAGTTCAATTCTACAGTTTAGTACATCACATAAGCCGAGTACATCCCAAATCTGAGAGTATTGACACATTCTAGCCTCGCTGCAATACTGAAGTAAACCATCAGCAGCTTCATGAAGTTGTGGGTAAGAATAGTATTCAATATAATTTTCGTAGTTGATTATGACTTCGAGCAGAGATCGTACACGTAACTCAGATACTAATTAATATAGATTTTCTTCTTTTCCACATGCATTCGTATTTCCACACTCTCATTGCAAGTCTTGTTAAAATCTCAACAAGATTTCGTATGGTATAAGTCAAATTCGCAAAACTTTTAGAGTTAACTCAGACCATTTAGTATACGATGCACTACAAAATTCCAAAATAAAGGAACAGAGTATGTTCTTTATATTAGTAACGTCAAAGATTGTATAGAGATCATTAATGTCTTATTTAGTAAATAGAACAATGCTGCACGGTTAACAAGTATTGTAATATATGTTTTTTCTTATAGCATAAGATAAAGAATATAGGACTAATTAAATTATTGTTTTTACCGAGTATATTTCCCAATGTTTAATGAAACATACCTGATTTTGATGTAGGTTCATCTTTCGGTTCGGAATCATCAATTGATTGGTTTGATTCATCTTCTGATTTGGAATCATCAGCTGGTTGGTTTGGCTCATCTAAAAGAAGACAAATATCATTATGATTTATACGAATTCATGCTATACTTATATAGAAATTGTTACTCCTGTTGGACGGCTATGCAAGCCTCAGTGTAGCAAGCGTCAAGAAAAACCGAGCACTACAACAGTTGTGATCAGTCGAAATCTTTCTACAATTTTGAGTGAGAGCAGAAAGCTGTTGACATCACATAACACTCTGTTTCGAGTATGCTCTATCGTTTCTCTGTGAAATTTGCCTAAGATTGTTTATAATTTTATGAAGTTCACTTACTAGTTCACATCAATATCATACTAAAGTTAAATCTTGTTACCTGATTACTCTGAACAAAACTCATCGATTATCAAATGTATATCGATGCAGACTAGTCACATGCAAATAATACCAAAGAAGTTTTACTTATAGCGTACAGCCACATTCACAATATGCGTGAGTAGAATTTATCCTAGGAATCAGCAACCATTGAAAAATTGAAGCCATTCGGCCACATGATCATTGTGCGTATGTTCTGCTTCTCTGTGTATCTTTCTTTCATTTTCTATCCTTTTAACATATAATTTGGAGCTGAACGTGAAGTTATGCGATTTCTTACAAAAACTGACTTTCATAGGAACTTAATGAATAAGTGAATATTTGCCATTGACCTTCAAATATGACGCTAACTAGGAACAAACTTAGAATTTTTGAAATCAAATTTGAAGTTAAACGATCGAAGCGTAGTCCACAAAGTGTAAATGCACAAGTATCGGTGAATCATGTTTTCCGATCTTTATAAAAAATATCCAAAACCTTTTACGAGTTGTCACTTCACTTCTATGTCTACGACAATATGATACACATAAATTCGGAGTTCCATTATAGATAGTGACCTAAACTTGTCTGCATGAATGCCATGTTCTAAATAAATCTCAAGCAAATAGAGTTTCAGCTACGACTGAACGATTTTATTTAACGCATTTTACAGAATATTTTTGATAGGACTATTGTTCACAACTATTCAATTCCTTGACTGTGAATCAGGTACAACATGGCACAGTGAAATAAATAGATTTAAAAATAAAACTATTCAATTCCTGAAGTGATCTCTCATGAACGGAAATTCCTAACCTTCTTCTTTTATATTAGACTTGATAGATCCTGAAGCCGTTTTATACAAGTTATATTCTAGCGTTCCTCTGAGATATCTTCATTTCAGTGTTGTTTTGAGACTATTGCAGTAGAATGCAACTCATTCAAAATAAATCATAGACAGTCTCATTTCTTCATTACCATCGTGTAAACATTTATTCATTTTTCCATGGACGTAAAATGTCTCTCTCAAACAGCTTATTACTGACTCAGTGAGTAATTTACAGGTTTTAGGTAAGGAAAACCGATTTTCATTATTGACTTTAGATGCATTTAATCACATCTTATATTTCCAGAAATGCAACGCGCTCAGCTCTGTAATGCATCTAGGTGCACTTATAAGTGCATTGGAACGCGTTTATTTCGTGTTTTATTTAATAAATGCGCCCAAATGCATTTAAATGCATTTTTCCTGCGTTCCATAGTTATATGGGCGACAAATATATATCTTGGTCAATTCATAGTAATCAATATTGATTACACTTAAATTTAACTTACTAGTTCATAATATTTTATCGTTTTCGTTACTTCCATGATAATTATTGCATATCGGCCTATTATTCCTGATCGTTATCAACATCTTAAACTTGGACTTTTGTACGCAACACGATCAAAGATTAGATATTTAAATAAGTCAAACAACAAAATTTAGATACTGACTTTTATATAAAACCTGTAGAATACTTCAGATTTCTGTAGCATAGTGAACTGTTATTTTTTTATTATTAAATTATTAATGTCTGTCATGGGAAGGGGGCAAGCAGGAGAGCCGCAGAAATCTCGACATAAGACTTACACTCACTATTTTCTTCGAAGATATATATATGAGTTCCACATAATTAAAATTAACCTTTTTTTATTGTTCTTTTTTGACTTTATAAATTTTTGTCCACGTAAATTCGTAATCCTTTTATCCAATAACATTACCAAGGGACTTTTCTACTATAAATATAATTTGTTTAATTGAAAAATGACGCTTACATCAATGATGCATGAACTTAAGTCATATTTCAGTAGAATTATAAAGAGTATCAATCATTATGCAGTAGCTACAGTTTATACTACCCTAGTGAAAATATTCATCAAGCGAGCACGAGTTCCCAGGATGAGTACTCAAAATACTCATGTAAGTACTACATAGATTTTATACGTAGTTTTATTGTTCGTGTACTCTAGCGAGTACTCATATGAGTGATTCCCATAAGATTTACTCGTAGATAAGTAGATGAGTACTCTGGGTAGTACTCATCGTCATTTTTTCGCAAGAATACAACAAAACATGAATGCACTAACAAATATAAAAATGAAATTGATTTGGGGAAAAAGATAATTTAATAAATACAAAACAGAGTCATATTATTTTAATAATTGATTTATTGTATCCAATCCTATCCTGCATATTGTCTTATGGGTCATACATGCGTCTACAATGAATGGACATTTAAAGAAGTGAAGAAAAACTACTTTCATTTTTAGCCGTTCACTTTACGAGTATGATTGAACATTTTCTCAAAAGTGTAAATACAAATTCATTTAATTATCCTTTACAAATTGTAGATAAAATATTGCTTTAGATTAATGCATACAAGATTTTCAGATTAGTAATAAAAATTAACTAAAAATAAGAACAATACTGTTTTTCTTAAAGTTGAATAGAATTTGATATGAAAACAACGAAGACATCCTAATACGAATGCTTTATTTGTTTATTACGAAATTTTTTATAAATTTTAATGAACTCGCCTTGTTAGTTGAAAAATGCCTATCGCTCTTTTTCTAATGGTTTACAGCGTGCATTTAATATTAAAGTAAATCTTAATTTCATGAATAAGTTTTTACTTATTGCTAGTTATTAATTTTATGTTGTTCTTGTTCCATAGTTCGCTTTCTATTTGTTCACTTCTTTAATATTGAAAGTGTGCTGCTAAACTTTATTAAAAGAATATAAATATATTGTATCGTTATTGTGTTTCAACTTTTCATATTCTCTTATTAATAAATAATTAATAAGTTAAATCGACAAACTGTATATAGTATATCAATACTGAAAGAATATAAGTCCATGAGTACTCTAGAGAAAACAAGTGAAATACACACAACTAGTACCACGAGTACTCGTAGAACGTACAATTTTGCACGGAAAGTACTCAATAGTCGTCCTCAGATACTCAGATTCTAGCACGAGTACTGCTAATGTGTACTCAAAATTCATTAGTGCTCATGAGTACTCGCGGCATTTTCTAGCATGAGTACTTTTTGAATACTCTCTTAATGAGTATATTCACTAGGGTAATAATTAGGGAACATAATTTTTGGTCAGTAAAATAAATGAAATGGTCAGTAAAAAAATAGGCACATGGTCAGTGTGAATATTAAATGGTCAGTACCAAAATGGTCGGTAATTAATTAAAAAATGGTCAGTTCTTTATATACAATGATCAGTAAAAAATTCAAATTTAGTCAGTAAAAAACCAAAATTTGGTCGGTAAAAAATCCAAATCTGGTCAGTAAAAATTCAAATTTGATCAGCAAAAAAACTAGATTTTATCAGTAGAAAAAGTAAGTTTTATTCTCATCAAGATTAATTTGATATACAAAAAATAAATTTAAATAAAGACAGTGAATATACTTCAATCATATGTTACTTATGCATCATCTCTGATTTTTCCTTGAAGCCTTCTCTCACAGTCTATAATGATCCTGAGTCCTATCTGTGATGGGTAATTAGTTAACCACATAGTAATTAATTAATTAAAATGTCTGTCACGGTCTGTGGGGAGGAGTGATGCAAATTTCTACCCCTAAACACTTTAACACTCCTTTCAGATCGTGTTTCATAAAAGAGAATGAAAATCGAATCATTGTATTGATGCTTCTGCTTCACCCAGATTATCTTATGTAGCTTCTTTAATCAAAACTTTTATTTTTATTTCTTTTTTCATTTTTTCATTTATTCCATAATTTTCTTCTATAGTTTCTGCATCAGATGTTTCATTTTCATATGGATCAACTTGTGTTACTTCCATCTATGTTACTCTTTGACGCACCTGATTGTGAACAAAAGGATATAACCAAAGAATACGAATAGATAAATATATACCGTACGCATCTTCTGGACGACATAGTAGAAGGACAGAAAGAAAGAAAAATAAGTGAATCACACTATCACACATTTCGATTTTTTTAATTACCATTTTATTCAATTTACTGATCTTTAAATATACTGAAAGAGCCTAACTATTTTAATAACTGACCATTTAAATAGTTTACTGATCATTCATTCAATTCACTGATCATTCATTTACTTTACTGACCATTCATTTATTTTACTGACCATTCATTTATTGAACTGATTTTATAATTTTTTTGCTTACTGACCATTTCATTTATTCTACTGACCATTAAAATGATAGCCTAATAATTATTGAAGTCATAAATAAATAGTGAATTTTCTTGTTCATGAATAACCAAATAAAACTTCTATACTGATTATCTTAGCATGTGCCTTAAGTAAATCTTTTGCGAATAGTTCAATATTTCAAAAAATTTCTTGATTCAGAATTATGAAACACGTTTTCTCTCAAAAAAACGTAGCGA